AGAGGCCTTATTTTTAATGCTGTATACTGCAGGGTATTAGTTATGCAAATATTGACGTGCTGCTTTGGCCTGCTAGCTATCAATTGAAATCAGCAAATCGATGGGCCTAATAGCTGCTCATTAGCCACTTGATGCATTTCTCGGGCTAACAGCAGAGCCTGTCAGCCTCTACCCTTCACTCCCCCCGATCAATACGCTCTAAAAGTATTACCTAACTAAGACTTACACCCGACTCCTTTTAATAACCCCAGTTTCCCGTCTGCTTCTCTGTGCACTCGTCCGATCAGTACAAATGCCACTACACAATGACAGAAATGAATCCGGCTGGCAATTTGTCTTACAGAATATACGCCAGCTCGTTTTTAAGCAATTACTTTGTGAGTAGTCAGACAGGAGTAATAATCAAACTGTTAGAACAACAGTTTTTCACAAGAACAAAGTTGTAAATTGTGATTTTCTCGTCATGTTCTGTTGTGTTTAAATATGCTGAAGTATACTTATCGCTACAGACCCATACCCAGATGTGGATGCGAGAGGAGACGACCTTTGCGGGAAGATTTTGGTGCCTGTTCTGGGTGAATGAAGAGAGAACTGGGATGTCCTTAGCCAAGCCACCAATATACAGGGAGAAACATGCAAACTTTCTGCAGTAGTTAGTGATTTAGTATTATGTATAAGGGTTCTGTAGTTTAACAATGCCAAGTGCCTTTTTTTGTCTTAAACAAATAGAAGAATTTAACCAATGTTTGCACATAATTGCAAAGTTTGTCCATAACCTATTTTTCCAACATTTTAACCTGAAAGTGTTGTCGCGCACATAGGTATTACTATAAAATGGTGAAGATGATTTTATGGTAGATAAAAAAAAAGTGGACACATCAACTTGACAGAAGTAAGCAGCTGGTCCAGAGAGAGAAACTGTAGCAGGTTGTCGGAGGGTGGGGTACAACAAAGATAAATCATTAGAGCGCAGGTTATTGGAAATGCAGGAGAATAAAAGAGTGAAGAAGCCGGTAATTGCCTTAAAGATCAGGCTACAAAGCATTACTGTGGATTTAACAAGGCCATCTTGCAACAAAAGAGCAGTAATTTATGAGCTCAGCGTAAAAGAATAGCATAATTACATTAAAAATTAATGCTAATGAGGGCTAAAATGGGGAAGGTGGTTATTATGAAAGTTTGTATTCATCTTCCCCGGCTTGAATGATGGCTTGTGGCTTGATTAATGGCTTAATTTCTATCAATTAGCAGGAAAAAAAATCTCCACTGAGACAGGCCTAAATTGAGCATTGAATTACACGGCTTTAACGCAGTGCAAGGCGAAGCCGCGAAGGGGAAGCCGGCGCATTATTGAAACCTGGGAAGAAGACGAGGGAAGTTGTGGGTTGAGATGTCTGAGAGAAAAAACGGTTTTACTATAAATATAAAACAAAGAAACATGATGTAGGTTTGCTGTTCTTTTCTGTGACTGTAATGATAAAATAGATGAACGAGAAAGGATGCAATGACATTATCGTTACGAAGAAAGACATTTTTAAACAGAACTTTTCTGCTATAGCTGAGTATGAGTGGGTCCATGAAAAATATGTATGTGCATTAATGATATGCAACAGTCATTAGTCCTACTAAAACATGCTTATTATGGTACAAAAGAAAAGTTGCTTTCCCAAATGATTGCGCTTTTATTTATTACTACAAACCCTGTTCAATTAGGTGCCCAGGGGAATTTCAACAAAAAACAAAAAATGATGGTCCAGGCAGCACATATTTTTATTTATTTCTAAATACATTTAAAAACACTGTATTTAATGCTGATTTCTATAACTTGAATAAACTTTGAAAATGTCAATAAACTAGTTTAATTCAATGTGAATAGAATCTCAATCACTAAAGCTTGTTTCCACCTCTAACATCTGGGATTAACTTAAACAATCTAAATTAAATATATAAATAATATTTTCAAATGGAGAAAAGTTGCTCTGTATATATATATATTTATTTATTTTATTTTTGCATCACGATCAGAAGTAATTTTTGTGGTTCGCTCATGCACTCAATTACAGGAATTAATCGGCAGCAGTATATTGAGCCCGACTGCACTTGATTGACAAACAGCAGAACAAAGTCAAGTTTAAGTAGCGCTCGCGCTCGCAACACGCACCATGTGTTATGGAACAGCGCCCTCTCCCGGTGGATCTACGCCACACCTTTTACAGCGCTCACATCTTTCACAGGGCGAAAGGAGACGAGTAAAAATCAGTTTCTATTGGCTCGTTTGATTTTCCCCTGCCCATCTTCTGGTCTTAATCAATGGAGTGGACAAACAGCTATTAAGCGAGAACAAAAGCCTATTGATTGAAAGCGGCTCGTCAGCGCCACTGTCTGTTCAACTAATTTCAGTAATGAGATGGCAAGTGCTTTTTCTGGCAGCCACTTTATAGAAATGAACACATACCCATTCAGATCAAAGAAGATACAAGCCGTGTTCTTCTTATATTGATTGTTTAGTTAATATCTGCCATGCTCCAAACGCCCAGTTTTGTAATATTGTTAATTTCCTTCCATAATTCATTATTTCGTCTGCGTATGTGCTCTCTCTCGCTGCTGCCACTTAGCCTCCCATTTCATTATTGACCACGAAGCAGTCCTGATGCAGTGACAATCTAATCGCCCTGTTAAATTAATTTGCCAGATTATGTGTCAATATTAAATATCAACTCTGACCTCTCCGAGCCGAGGAGTGCGCTCACCCCGGCTGGAGTATTGATTTTCTCTTGTCTCTGAGCTCGCCAAGTCCGCTCTCAAAGTCCATTATTTTTGATTTTCCTCATGAAATACATATCTTCTCCCGCTGACATCTGACAAACAGCATATGGGAGTCATTTTATCTACCAGTAATGTGTTTGTCAAAAAGTCTGAGGTCTTAATGGATTCCGGTCGGGCAAACGGACGCAGGCCTAACAAGTGAAAGCGATGTTAGATATATGTGTAAATGCTTCTCATCACCTCCCCTGCTGATGTGAACCAGATATAATCTCCTTTTCATTACAACATTTCTATACGTTTTTACACTCAAATGTGTTTGATATTGACGAGTAATTATATAGAATGTGGGTATTGGATTCTTTGATAGATACTTATATATTATAGACATTCCTGTACACTCTATAAGAACAATGCGTACTGCACAAAATTACGTTGCATCCTGACTCTGTCTGGGGTAATGCAATTTGTAAACTTTTATGCAGTTTATAAAAGACCAGATTCCTTGCAGCCACAGTGTTGTATGTTAAAATGATTTGACGTTGGTTCATGGGGATGAGAGAAACTGCTTTTCAGTTCAGTGTATCCAGTGCCGATTTGATCATCAAAGTGGACTCCTTTGTCAAATTGTTCATAATTATTTTTCTGATGCTGCAACGGTTGTAAAGGAAATCTATTAAATGCAACTAATCATTGATTTAAATATTTGTCAACTAATTTTGTAATTAATCACTTTTTTTAATATCCTACATAGACTTACATATGCTGATCAGAGGTTTTATTCAATAATGACAGCAGAATTGAATTAAAACATGTTTACAAAGCACTTTTAATCAAATCTGGTTCTCCAAGGGCATCTCTTGAGCTTTGTTTTGTTAAAATGTATAAAAATAAACAAATTCAATGATCATTTGGGATCTAAACAATTTATGGATTAATTGCCTCTAACATGTTTGCACACTTCTGTCTTTTGCACAATCAGAGTGATCCTATCTATGCCAAAGTGACATGTAAATTTCTCCACTGTGAGATCAATAAAGTCTGTCTTATCTTATTGTATAGGTCAACTATTCAGTTTATCAAAATAATAGTTACTATAGCCCCAGATGCTACTTATAAATAACTCACTTTCAGTTGACAGCGTGACCATGAACTTACAAACCAACTCTTTGCAAACTTTGCAAAGTTGCAACAAAATGAAGTGATTTATTTTTCTTTTCAATTTGATTCTCCAACAGCGGTTCTCAAACTTCTCACTTCAAACACAACCTAAAAAACAGTTTCACCTGGCAGGTTTTTTATCACAATGTCCTCTAATCTACAATATTTAGGCCCGAGACGTGTCGCCTGAATCCTATAAAGACAGTATAAAACAATAGCTAAAGTATGAAGTCATGCAGCACCGGTGTTGTCAAATGTAAGGTGTGCACGTGTTTCCGTCTGTGAGCAGTTGGCGTGGCAGACTCCTCCGTGGAGCTCTGAACGCCTGGCTGTCTCTGGGAGTGACACATCCTGAGATGGGAGAGTGCAGCGGAGGACGGATGGATGCGGGAGCCTCCATGAATATTGACTGATCAGTGGAGAGATTGACAGCCACAGAATAATGGGAGCATTCAGGCAGAGGCTTCTCGGTGTCGCTAACTTTCCTGGCGAAGCTATTTTTGCCATCCCACGCTATGAAGAACTGCTATTGAATTCTTAAAATGATTTATTATGTGATATGCAGAATTTTGATGTGTTTATTTCCAGGAGTAATTTACTAGAAACCTTTTCTGTCTCTTTGTTTGATTGGACAAGCCAGAGCAAAATACTTTGTGATAGATGAAAACTGTATGAAACCTAATCACATTTAGACTCCATAATGAAATTCCACAGCTATGAGTTTGTGTTCATATTTTGATTATTTTAGAATGCATTATCTCAGTGTAATTCACTGTCTGGCTATTATAATGTTAGTGTTTTTGTTCACTTGCTTTTTATAAGAAGAACTCTCTGCCCTTGAATTGAGATAAGAGTTCTTTTCATGGAAGCCAAGATTAAAATAGGAGAATATCAAATATTTGTGATGGTATGTGTCAAAGAGTATTATAATAAAAGATAAATTGTCCAAATGAAATCTGGGACCTTTCAGTTCTGAGCTGAGCGGCCATTGAAGGCCATGAGTCACCTGTGCGCTCTTGGACATGTGTGTGAGAGCTTTTGTTCATTGGTCTCCATCTGTGATTCATGTGTTGCAGAAGGAACTTCTCTAGAGGAACAAGTGCGAAGGATAAAGGACATTGAAGCCATTGAGAGTGATTCTTTTGTTCCTCAGGCTTTCAAATCATCCCGGGACCAACTAAAGGTGCGCTCTGTCCCTGTTTCTCTGCCTGGCTCTCACTCTCTCCATCTTTTCACTCTGTCTCTTATTAAATTTCCCCACTGTAATACTGGTCCTTCTGTCCAGACAGAGCCCAGACCAAATCACACAATTCCCATTCTGTGCGATTGGTTCAAACTGGGACAGTTTCATCAGACACTGCATTCACTGCGTCTGACATGAGGACCACCAGGGGCCCAGACCCCTCCCCGGCCTGGGGAGATGCAGACCAAGCAGCAGGAATTATTGAAATGCTGTGGCCTCTGAAGACACAGGAATTAGATTTGTTGAAATTCAGGACTGTTTTTGAGAGACTATCTGGCATGCTCTTCTGGGACACAATATGATAAAGGTCTCAACCTTTTTCACATAACCAGTTTGTAGATGGCTGTGGGTTCACTGAAGAGACCTGTTCTGTAATAGCCAAACTCTATTAGTCTACTTTCATCATTAAACCTGACCCACAACCGTTGTGATTATCCATTTTTAGGTCTCATGCTTATCTTTATGTTGGATAAATCCTGTTAACCGAAAGAGCTGATTTATTAACCCTTTAGGAGCCAAAGTGGCAGAAGTGCTGCATGAGCTTCTGAACCAAGGGCGCTTCCTATACAGCTCCCTGGCCTCCTACATTGCCTACATTTTATTTCATCTTTTCCTTTTATTTGTTTGTCATTATTTTTATCATCTTATGTCTTTCAGGACAATTGCGGTTTCATCAAATTCTTTCATTTTTAGAGAAATCAGAAAGAAATGGGCATCAGCAACAGGCGTACAGGCCGCTGTACGTGCTAAAAGAGGTCACATTGAAGGCAACAGATATATTTGTATTGATTGGGAATCAGAAGGAATGTCGTTATAATTGCAGATGTAATTGTCAGTTTTGTTTTGATACCTTTCTCTGTTGAAAATACATACAGCTTTGCAGGACAGTCAGTTTGTAACTTTATCTAATACAGCAAATAAAAATACAGTATTGTTATGAGTGTGTAGATCAATGTTGAGATGCTCTAATTACACAACATACAATAATCACTTTGGATGATGAAAGTGATACTTGCAAAACTCTATTCATTTACTGCCACCTGCTGGATTCGTGTCACACTGCACCCATGTTAATGTTATATTGTTGTTATTTTTAACAGGTTGAAGTCAAAGAAGAAGAAGAAGTAGAAGAAGAAGCTGTATCTCAGGACGTCAGTCTTCCAGTGTCGACTGTGTATAATGACACAGACACACTGGCTCATCCTAATGTAAGCTTGTAATGTTCATTCATTACATCATTGTAAGATTGTAATCTTTCAATCTAATCCAGAGCTCTGTCTTTTATTATTATATACAATTTTACTACATTATATTATTATGGTTATGGAAAATAATTGTTCAACTTCAGCCTAAACCCTTTTGGCCTTTACAAAGGTACATTTATGTGACACAGTTCTGGTCTTTTTGTTGTTGACAGAAGAAATAATAAATAAACTAATGGTTTTTACATACATTTAAAAAAAAAGTATTATTCCCAACCTACATTGTGTTGTGGTTTGTGTATATATAACAATTGTAGATTACCTCTTTCTCACCCAGTGTTTGAATGATAAAAAATGAGAAGGAAAAGTTTAAACTCTAATAACACTCTCTGGGGCTTACCAGTCATCTATCTCTAGTGGGGAAACTCAGTTATGGCCTGATGTATGCAGATAACCCCCTCACATATACCCACATATACACAGCGCCGCGCAGCTCAAGTCTGCGCACACAAACGCACACTTTGAGACAAGCTGATGTATGGCAGCAATATGCCCCAGGCGGCTCTGGCCCCAGCTCCGCATCCAATTAGAACAGATGAGTCCCATTAGCCCAGCCCAGATACTGTCATCCCACACACACTGCCTCATTAGCACCCTGACACCAGCTATGGGCCCACAGACAAGAACTCACTGCTGTCGGATCTTCCACGTAACACGCACACAAACGGCCTGAAATGAAGGATCGACAGCGTCTGTAGCCTTCTCTGTCTGCATGATAATAGACACGCATCATAACATGTACAGTTATGCGAGCATGGCGGAGCGGCGACATCCTCTCTCGCCCAGTCAATATAGAATCCATCGTTTTATTCTCTCTCTGAGCTTTGAGTCGTTATGTTTCATTGTAATAAACACATGCCTTCATTCATCAGACAGATGCAGCAGTGGCTCTTTTATAGCCCCCTGACTATCAATAGGTTGCGTTCATGTAACATCACAACATTCCAAAGAGCCTCTAGTTTAATATTGTGGAGGGCAGCTGATTCTTTCCTGATAACTATGGTAACTGTCAAAAGTCAGACTTGTGGTCATAGTTTAGAGCGAATTTGACAATATTCAAAATACATTTGCATGGTCTTTGCCAGTAGAGCGGACTTGCAGACATAGGAATAATATGACAGATTTGCGAATCCCTGGTCTGAATGAAAAAAAAAGATATATGAAAAAATGTCTAAATAATTGAAACTTGATTGTGCAAAGCTTTGTGAATCTCACAACTATCAAATAATGATCAGGGGAAACACTTCCACATATACTTTCTCAACATTTAAAAACATATACATATATATGTAACTGTATACTGAAACCTCTTCCAACCAGTACCATTTCAATTTAGGAGCAGTAAGTGTGAGCGTGTGTCGCCTAGATCAGAAAAGCAAACTGTTTTAAAGCAGTTTCAACATTTAATTTTGTGCTTCTCTCCTGTTATCAACTATCCCACAGCTGTTTATGGACAAAGACAAAGCAGAGGAACTGTGGATGAAGAGACTGATCTCCTTACGACAAGAAAGACTATTGGGCAGTCCTGTCGCATAAGCAGCCAGACTTTAGTGCTGTTAGCGTTGTTCATATTAGTTATTAAAAGTTCTCACAATGGGGGATGACAATGAACTCTTTTATCATTTCATGTAAAGCTGTTTTTGTTGAATAAACATTGAATTTAAATACAGTATGTGTCTTTTTTTATTTATCTTTAACACTGTATGATTAGTATTTAATTAATAATAATCTGGTTTAAATGTATGTCCTAATTGTTGTAATCTGCTGCTGCTTTTATTGTGATGTCTGACCAGCTGAATGTGGTTGTGATTTTAGGCAATAGAAAGATGTTTCTTGTCATTTGCTTTAGACACATAACACAAATACAACTTGAAATTATGTTTTTAGGGACCATCCAGAAATAGTCTTCACTAATATTTTGAGAACTTATCAACAAATGAACAAGCAGTCTAATCTTATTATATAATATTGTTATATAACACTGCATTATTGCGAGCTGATCGGCTGAGTGAGGGCTGGTTCTATCTACATTCAAAAAGCTGATCTAAAGATGTGACAGGCCAAAATTACATGCTTGTAGAACTAGCAACATTTGCTGGTTTCCATCTGTCCTGAGGCAGGAGATGTAAGAACAAAACGAACACTTTTACAGACAAACACACAAGAGAGCATAGTATTCACCTGCTGGGTTTTCCTTCATCCACTGCTTCAGATGTTTAGATGCAGATAATGTAGGACATTCTCTTATTGTCAAACTTGTAACAGAACCAAACAATTTGGAGAGGAAGGAACTATCATGGACTTATGTTGGGTAGTTGGGTATTGCAGATGTAAATACTATTAGTATATTAGGATTAGCATGCATTGGATATAATGTGTCAATATCTCAGATAACAATATTTTACTTGCTATAGTTGAGTTTTTATTTTTACAAGTAGTATTTACAGTTCTAATTTGAATTATTTCGAATATTTGCCAACTCTGTTAATATAGTCAGAAAAGAGGGACAACGAGAAGATTGATGCACACTGCTGACCTGGTCCACATGTGTTACTTTGGCCTCGTGCTGCTAACATGTACTATCACATCCTCACCCTTTGAGGCTTATTTTGATTTAAATTTTGTTATACGTAATATTCAATTGTCTTGTTTTGTTGTCTCATTCCTACTGTTCTGTAACTTTTCATGCAAAACTGGAATGTCCTCGATGTGGGATGAATAAAGAATCTCTTAATCTTAATCTTAAAACCTCCTAAAATAAGCTTGAATATTATAACTTTTGATTGGAATGATCTGTAGGCCAAACTCATCAAGCCCGTCATGGTTCCGTCATGGTCCCTTCATGGTCCAGTCTTGTGTGTGTTTGACAACTTTGCAAGATGCGGTTGCTATAGCAGCGCTCACAACAGTACGTGAATATCCAGCCAATCGGAGGGCACGGTTTGCGTCACGTGGTTGTGTGAGGGTGCAAGGCCTGGAGGCGCATAGACCACTGGAGCAAAAGGACGTAACGTTAACATGTCCAGCAGCAAGTTTAAAGAGGGTGACGAAGAGCCCGGTTTCACGTAAGTATGACGACTTATAGAAACATTTAGATGGATATATGTTTGGCTTTCAGCTTCCTGCAACTTTTTGAAGATTCAAATCAATGCATTTTTGTCACTCTGAAATCCACGGACAAGTGTGCACTTGCTGGTTTTCATTTTGCTTGGCGGTTCCTCAAGTAGTCTGTGGTTTCCGGCCGTTGTCAATTATGAATCACGATAATTAAAGACATGATATTTTGGATGGGAAAATTAAGTATAAAACAGGGAGATGGAACACTGCCGTAAATTCGAATCGTTGAGTTTAAAACGCTTGTCCCTAGCATTTCCCTTTCTGCATATAATTGACTGTCCATGATTTGTCCTTTTATACAAGCTTGTATTCAGTGTCAAACTTTTCTTTTGTAGGGATCCATTCCGTGCACACAGGGAACATATGCAGCGCTTCATCCGCAGCTTCTCTGAGCCGCTGGGTGTGCCTGTGGTGTCCAGTTTGAGGGATGGAAGGAGCCAGGACATGGCACAGTCCAGCTCATCCCGGCATGCACTGAGCAACAACCACCTGGTGAGAAGAAACACTAACAAATAGCTGTATTTTATAATCATTATTTTTAGTCATTCTTTGTGGTGGTGCTCTGTAAAAACTGTAGTTTAGGGAACATAGAAAACACCTATTGCCACACAAGATCCAAGCACCACTTACAAATATCGGTCAACAGAGTCTACATTGAAGGGCATCCCTCTCCCTGTTGGACTTAGGGTAGTTATTTGTAGCTCAGACAATGTTATTAATAGCACATTGTTCCACTGACACAGTCTTTCTTGTAGCAAGTGAAACGAAACAAAACATGGTCAATATTTTTTCTGATTACATAGTTTTTTATGATTAAGGCTAGTGACTAAGTCGTTTTCTGCAGACTTTTTAAAGTAATGGAATAATCTTTAACTTCAACACACGTATGCACGTGTGGTGCTATGTGAACTAGGTGCAGCTCTGACTGCAACCCCGACCCAGAAATGGATTAAGGGGAAGAAAATGAATGACATGTATACACTGAACTAGGATTTTAGGTCTCAGAGAAGCATGGTAAATACAGGAAATGTCCTGAAGTGTCCCTTCAGCTGTACTTACCTTAAAGTTACATTAAATCTTATTGTGTTTCAAACATCAATCAACAATCAAAATAATTGTTACATACAGCCTTAGTCATTGTACAAAAAATAATATAATTTTTTTTTTGTAAAATCAAGCTTCCCTGTCTGTATGTTTTAAATTGGACCTAGATTCTAATTGAATCACATGAGTTTAGTTACAACATAAAGTTAAGAATTGATGAATATGACTTTTGACAACTCTGACACTATTATAATGTATAAAGTGTGTGTCAAAGTGGATGTTCTGGGGTGAGTTGAACACCAGTGGATGCCTTCCTGCTTCAGTGTTACTATTAAGGCTTCATGCTGGTCTGCATTTGTACTTGATAATAATGAACTCTAAACCCTTCAGTAACATCATGCCACTGCTCCATCATGTCAGCTGAGGACAATCGAAACCCACTGTTTGACCTATTACTTCAGCGACAATGTGTGCACTCGAGCTATAATGCAATATGACGTCTAACTCAATGACTGCAGTGTATGTTATTGATAGAAAATTAATTTACAAGTCGTTTATCAAGCTCAGAGTTACAGACTGAAGAGGCATTTCAAAATCTTTGAAAACAGCATATGTTGCAAAAAATGCTGACTATTTGGTGCCTCTATCTGGCTCATAGTCCCATGGCAAATGCCCAGCAGTGGTCAAAAGACTCTGTGTTGTTGGCTTTGTGAAGGCATTTGTGCAGATGCCCTGGACTCTTTGTTTGTCATCGTTGCTCTGTTGGTCCATCTGTTTGGCAGAACGTGTCTTGGCGCTGCTGAAGCATTAGCAGCGAGATGACAGACATGTCTCTCTTACTCTGCTTTCCAGTATCACTATGTACACATCAACGCGCTGAATGTCTTTGAAAAGCTGCTTACAAGTTCTGTTGTATGCACTCTGTCACGACAGGTCAAATGACTTGTGCAAGCTGCTCATGTTTTGTGTTTAGAATCCCAGTGGAAACGCAAACTCTATACAAGCCACTTCTCACATTGCCATGTGTGCTGCCGGTCGTGACAGCCTGGCTCATATCACCTTTCAAAGCAGCTACCTACTTACATTTTTGTTTATATTTAGTTGTCACAGTTGTCAACACAAAAAGCTCGTTCTGTTGTTGTGGCAAGACTTTTAAAGGTTTATTGTGTAACTTTTTGGTTGTGCATTCCATGAAGGTGAAGATTATTGTTTTTGCTGGAATATTCTCACTTCGGTTTTAATCCTTTTTATCATTCTAATCTGGCTGTATCTGTGCAGTCTTTTCTGGTACAGGTCGGCTTTAGCTCACATGCTTAAAATAATGTGTCAAAGTCCTCCAAGCAAAGATGTCTTATCTTGTGTGTACATAACCACCAACTTCACTTCTTAGACCAGGCTAAATATATTTAGATATTTACTAGGCATTTTGTTTGCATGTGTATCATTTACAAACGGTGCTTTGCATTTGCCCAAAAAGAGCCATGACAGCAAACATGGACTCAGTGACCCCTGCAACAGCTCTTCCCAGAACTGCCCAGTGCTGCTTTGCCAGTAGAATTCAGTCCTGCTAATCTGTGACAATGCAACCTAATTTTGAATGGGGCACGAGTCATTCAACACCCAGTGGTTACGTACAGGCCTGTCGTGCCCCTGTAAATGACACAAGCTGTCGTTGTTGAGATGATTTGAGGGTCGTGAGCAGCTGTACATTAAACCCACATGATAGTATTTGTCAAGCTACTATTATATCATAGTTTTTGTCTACATGGCTACCCACATGATGGTCTTGAACCAGCCACATAAACGCTGTAAAGCCATGTTCTGATTTGGAAGATGAAACGTTTTAATCGTTTATTTTTCTAGCATCAGAAACTTGCATTAACATGCATGTGTGTGAGTATGTGTGTATTTGTACAGTATATAATGATTACTTAATGAACAGCGGGTCACAAAGCTTGGGCTGTGGAGTATTCGGTTCATACGCATACTACCCCTGATGAGTGTATTTATAATCCAGGAAAACATGGTGACCTCTTTTTTATAACGCTTTGTGCAGGAGCTAATGAGGAACCCTTTTGGTATTGTCGACAATATGATCTCCAACATGAGGAACACGTCCTGGGACTCAGTGAGTGTTCTGCTGGTAAAGTAGAATGACAGTCATATATTTACTTGTATTTGTGTGTGTTTTCCAGGAGAATGGCAACGTAAATGGCCACTCTTTCAGCTCTTCGTCAGTTATGACTTACACTAAAGTTGGAAATGAGCCGCCTAAGGTCTTTCAGGCCTGCTCGTCAACACGACGTGCGCCTGGAGGGGTAAGTCACTCTCTACAAAAGGAGACGTGTGATCTCACATGGGTGTCCGACCTAGCATATATGATGGTAATTCATGATTGTAGATCAGTGTAAATGTTAAGCTGTTCATCTGTTTGTTTAATGTGTAGTAATGATGTGTATTTCAGGTCAAAGAAACTCGACAAGCTGTTAAAGACTCTGTGAGTGGTTTGGAGAAGCTGTCGATCGGGCACCACATTCAGGACAGGGCTCACATTATGGAAAAAAAGTATAACAACAAAACTGGGGCTAAAGAATTTAATCAGGAGTTTCAGAATCTAGAAGACTGTATGTTTATGTCTTGAAAACTTATTATGAATTAGGATGAAGATTGTTATGTTGCATAATTATTGTGTTTGTCACCAGCTGAAGCAGAAGCGTTTGATAAAGAATGGAAGCAAAAAGTATCGACTTTTAAATGTGACTTCATGTCACTGGAGCCCCGAGCCAGTACCTGCAGGTCAGTGGTGCATACACCCTGCTCTGGTCCGGTCGTCCACCAACCTCCATGTTTGTTTGTCCACAGAGAACACCCCAGACTGGCCACAAAGAGAGAACCAGGCTCTAAAAGGCAGTGAAGTATGTTATTATTACCATGTTCAGAGCAATATAAACTTCAACCTGGTAGCCTCGCACTCTTTTTCATACAGGTACCTGGTGTAAACTTTGAATCTGGCAAACCTGATTATTCAATAGTGAAAGGAGGAAATGCATATGAAAATTCATCCAACTTCCCATCTCTGAAAAAAACTTATTCACAAAAAGGTAAATCAGTGATTACTCTGCACCAGCCAATCAGCTCTCAGCATGGCTCTTCTTCAACTGAATGATTTCAGATTATATGTAGCAAAAGACTTCTTTAATACTCACCACTGCTCCAGTTCTGTAGCAGGACTTTATCTTAGGGTTCAAGACATAATGACAACACAGGTTTAGTAGTCTTAAAACAGTGACAATAAGGTCCCCGATTTTTTTTTCCTAGTTAGAACTCCCGTTTGCATACGCCAACGTCAACGAAGCTCACTGAGTTTTTACGTTTCCAAGACCCACTTTTATATTCAAGCCATTTTCATCATATGAAGTGTTTGCAAAGGGCCCACAGAAATCCATGCATTGTCAATTTGTGTCAAATTCATAATTGTTATTTTTACAAATACCCTTTTTTATAAAAACAAATTATTTTATTGTTTGCATTGCATATTTTTCAGAAAAATCCAATGAATAAGCGATCTTGTATTTTGCTTAAAAAAATAAACTTTGAAATAACATTTTAATTCTCATGCATGCTGTGTGCGTTTGTTCATGTTGACTATGCCAACCTTTTATAACAAATAGCTATACAATTTGGGTATAACATTTTATTTTTTTATTATTAAAATGAAAAATAAAGACATTTCAAAATGAATACAACTGTACTTCCCCCAGCTGGTCGTATGACAAAGAATAAATAGTGCAAAAGCTGCTAGAGTGACGGTCCCATGATTCCTTGGGGCTGTCCTTTCCCTGCTATCTTTTTCGAGCACTCCAGCAGAGCATTATGAATGTCTTTGGCGCAGGAGATCTGAGACTTGATCATGCCGAGGTACTGGGCATAGGACATGGACTCGGTCTGCACGGTGTCCGGCTTAGTGGCTGTTGGGACAAGGTTTGGAGAGTGTTTGGCGCTGTCCAGGCACTGAGAAAGACACTCGTACGCCAACCGCTGGAAGGAAAAGCACAACAACAATTTGACTACAGACGCTTGTCTTAGATTGTGGGAATTCACGAGTACAAATATGATAACTTACCAAACAAAGTTCAACTTGATCACAAAGGGCATAAAATTCTTCCAAGCTCTTGTCAAAGCGTTGAACTGCTGTATCGCTCCTTTCACTAGAGGAAAATGAGTAATCAATCATAAAAAAGTAGAATAGCTTCTGTAAGTCTTTGTTGTTGAGTAAACTCACATGCCACTGTCGATAGCAGTGTTATGAGACAAATTTAGAGATGCAACCTTCATCAGGTTCTGTGAGAAGAAATACAATGAATGTTCAATGGAAACGAAAGGCTGTTTTTACAAAGCCTGAGCGAACATTACATCTCACCTGCAAACTCTCCTTGAGCTGAGGAATGAGCGTCTTAAACTTTTGGACTGGATCAAAGTCTTGACTTAGTTGTTGCTGCTGAAGAGAGTCGGGCTGTTGTAGCCCAGGTTGCGCCAGGCGCTGCTGCTGAGACGCCATCTTGATACAAAAGCTTCGATAAACAGGAAGCCTCAGGAAGTCTTATCCTGTTTGTATTTTCAACATAAAACTCCTAGCCTCGCTATGACTGATGACACTGACTGAAAGTCTGTTAGATCTTAAACACATTTGAAATGTAATGTGTTGTATAATGTATAATATATTTGGCAATTTCAACAAAATAAAGTATGTGACATTAAAAGCAATTTCAATCACTCTTGTGTCAATTCATTGTCTTTAGTATCTACACATTGTACATTATAAGTAAAATCTTATTATGAATATTATCATATTTACAGGAATATAATGTGTAACATATACATCATGTGATATTATGAAGAGTGAATGTTGCCGTCAGCTGCTGGGAGGACCCGGTTCCGTCTCCTCTGCGCAGAAACCATGGATGTATTATAATAACTGGATAGGGTATTACTAGCTTGTAGCTGAATAACCCATGTGCTCAGGGGATTCTCGCGGTACTGCAGACTGAACCAGACTAAATTCACGTGGGCTACCCAGAAATTTTCCCCATAGGACTCAATGCATATTAAAACAGCTCGACCTCTGCTGACAGAGAACCTACAGCTTTAATAAAGATCAGATTTTGTGGGGATTTTAGTGTCCCTTGTCATCCTGAACTTTTTTTCTTCTTAAATCCTTCGGTTTTGTTTAAATCCACACTTTAGTGCCACAAACTCTGCTCGTCTGGCTCTCGCTCTAACTCCCGCTCTGATGAACTGCTCTGATTGGTCAGAGCGCGGCCGAGCCCCTCTGTGCACGTGCGTGAGACCCGGTGTAAGACCCACACACGCGTGTTTGGCGCAACGCATTATGGGAGATCATCCACTGCGCAGAACCCGGGAGGACCAGACGATGCCCAAATACAGGCGAGTTTCCCATAGATCTTTGCGAGTTCCAGGCGACTTCCGCTAATCTTCCAGCCCCCATGCTGTCACAAAGCGCCACTGAGCACAACCATTCATTTGAATAGGGCGCCATCTTGGATCGCCGGGGCTTGCAGAAACCCCGTAGCTCTGTAGCACTGCCGCACACAGCGCCATTCTGAAACACTGAGCAAAATGGCAGGAGCCGATGGAGACGACTCTCTTTACCCTATCGCTGTTCTCATTGATGAACTGCGAAACGAAGATGTCCAGGTAATTCTGTGCGGTGTTATTCTTGCATTGGTTAGTTGTAGTTCGTGATGGTTGTATTTAACACAGGAGCGTTAGCTTCAGTTTGCATTTAGCTAGCATTTAGCTAGCATTTAGCTAGCATTTAGCTAGCATTTAGCTAGCATTTAGCTAGCATTTAGCTAGCATTTAGCTAGCATTTAGCTAGCATTTAGCTAGCATTTAGCTAGCAAGTAGGGCCCGTCGTTCGCATAAATCCCCTGGCCCATCCCATGAAAACATCAGTGTTCATTTTAACTATTGTGATTGGGAAATGTCATGAAATGTTCCAAAATCGCTCGTATCATTTTAATTAACGCTCAGAGAACTCTCCAGTGACTCCTAACGCTGTTTTCTTCATCATAGCCCTGTTGCTTCTCCTGGCAGCTCATATGCTAATGCTAGTGATACAAATGTTATATTATTTGCCGAATATTGATGACATTCCTAATTTGTTGGAAATGTTTGATAAATAATTAGTGGTGTTTTAAGTTGAATCCTGCTGTTTTGCCGTTAATGCTTTTAATGTTATGCTACATCCCCAGCCACCCATAGATGGTTAGAGCGCATTTGTGTCTAATGGAGTCTTTGCAGATACAATATTTAGTGCATGCACTAAATATTGTGTTTTTATTGTATCAGCTTCGACTGAATAGCATCAAAAAATTGTCAACTATCGCTCTTGCCCTGGGTGTGGAGAGGACTCGCACGGAACTCCTTCCCTTCCTCACAGGTGAAGGCACTACACCATGTTATTTTGGTCCGTTTTTTTGTCAGTGTTTATATTCTAAATGAAAATATTATTCCTGTAGACACAATCTATGATGAAGATGAAGTGCTTTTGGCACTGGCAGAACAGCTTGGTAATTTCACCATGCTGGTGGGAGGTCCAGAGTATGTCCACTGTCTATTGGTGAGTTGACTAATGTTACATGGTCCTAGTGTAATGAATTGAAAATATATGTGAAATTTCTGAACCATGTATCATCCACTGTGTTTATGCTAGATGTTCTTAAACTCAGATTTTCTTTTTCAGCCTCCTTTGGAAAGTCTAGCAACAGTAGAAGAGACGGTAGTGAGAGACAAAGCGGTGGAGTCCCTGAGGAAGATCTCCCAGGAACACTCTCCAGTTGATTTAGAGGTTCACTTTGAGCCTCTGGTCAAGCGCCTGGCCAGTGGTGACTGGTTCACCTCTCGCACATCTGCCTGCGGCCTCTTTAGTGTTTGTTATCCCCGTGTTTCCAGCACTGTCAAAGCTGAGATTCGTCAGTAAGTGGCCATTCTATTTGCTTAAAAAAAACATATTAATCTACTAATGGGTAATTGATGCATTTGAAATATTGTGATAATCACTGTTTCTCATCTCTTTTAAGGCATTTTCGAACGCTCTGTTCAGACGATACACCAATGGTGCGTCGCGCCGCAGCATCAAAATTAGGAGAATTTGCCAAAGTCCTGGAGTTAGATTATGTAAAAAGTGACATAATTTCACTCTTCACTGCCCTGGCATCTGATGAGCAGGTATCTGTTTATTTTCAACTCGCCAGTTTTTTCCCTTTTCTATTCTTTCTCCACTGATAATATGATTTGTAATCGCAGGACTCAGTACGGTTGCTTGCAGTGGAGGCTTGTGTGAGCATTGCCACACTGCTGCCTCAGGATGACTTGGAGACTCTGGTGATGCCAACACTTCGTCAGGCTGCTGAGGACAAGTCCTGGAGGGTTCGTTACATGGTGGCCGACAAGTTCTCAGAGGTACTTTAATTAAAACAAAGAATCATGTTGATTTTGAACTTAATTTTGATGCTGAGATGGTTGTGGTAGAGCTCTGAAAAAATTTGGGTATCACATGTAGTGACATCACGGATTTATTATTCACATCATCGTCTTCATAATTTTCATTTACGGGTGTCAACATTTTGTTTGTTTTCAATTGAACACTACGGTTGTGTTTAGGGGTGTGAAAAAATCGATATCGATACTTGGCAAATGCATATCGATACTTTCTCCCGCGATTCGATTATCGATATGCATTTGCCAAGTATCGATTTACGAACATTACGCATCTCCATTCCATTTATCATGAAATAAAGTGTTGTTTTTCTTTTATTTATGCCATAAATTGGCATATTGTATATTTCTGACCAATATATCGATAAACATCATCATATCGTGATATCGTTATTGTGATAATATCGTTATCGTGAGGTACCCTTGGGTTCCCACCCCTAGTAGTAGTAGTAGTAATCTTTATTTATATACCGCCTTTTCACTGCAGATCTGAGTCTCAAAGCGGTTTACAATTGTTAATTATGGGCATTTATCTCTCACTCCACACAGAGATGGGAGCGGGGTCGCCAGTACAGGAGGCGCATGCCAGACATGCCTATTGGACATATTTTTAGTGTTAGGGGAAACCGGAGTACCCGGAGGAAACCTACGCAGACACGGGGAGAACATGCAAACTCCACTCAGAAAGGCCCTGGTCCGACCGGGATTTGAACCCAGGACCTTCTTGCTGAGAGGCGAGAGTGCTATCCACTCAGCCACCGTGCCCCCTAGTTGTGTTAGTCCCCTGTTCCGCTCTTCATGTTTCATCCTATGCACATGTGTGATAATAATTTGGGTGATCCACCACACAACCCTCAAAATTTGTGAAAAATAGCCATATCTTGCACAGAGGGGGATGTCATTCTCAATTGAAATGAATGGACTTCATCCATTGTTTTTGTAAGCCTGCCACCATTCACCTGTGTGGAGATGTAGCCCAGACCACATTATTAGTTACCAGTGGTGTACAGCGAGTTGGAAGTACTCAACCTACAGATGTATGCTCCTCATCAGCGTGTCTTATTGTGTGAAAAAACAGATTTCAAGATCAGCCTTTGAATTAGTTCAGTTTCATGGTATCCTTAGTTCTGGAAGCAGTCTTTGCCCTGTAATGATTTTTAAAGCATAGAAAAGTCCAAAGGGGTAATATGGGACCTTTTTAAGAACCATTTCTCATCTTTGTCCTTAGCTCCAAAAAGCAGTTGGCCCAGAGATCACCAAGAACGACCTGGTTCCTGCATTCCAAAACCTACTGAAGGACTGTGAAGCTGAAGTCCGAGCTGCTGCTGCCAATAAAGTCAAAGGTATGAAGATTGGTCAAAACTGAACTGCTTCAATAATGTTTTCCTACAATCTAAAGGGAATGTATTGTATTCAACAGAATTCTGTGAGAATCTCCCTGAAGATAACAGAGAGCAGATCATTATGACTCACATCTTACCGTGTGTCAAGGTAAACGTTTTAAATCTCTAAAATGTCACCATTGTTAAATCGCAAAGTAATACCCTCCTCACTTTTCAGCAAATGCTATTTTGAGCACAAGGTGGCACTGTTGTATTCTGTAATTGAAGTGCTTTAGCCAAAACGCATTGAAGCAAAGCTCTTGTTCTTTTGTATAAACCAAATACTGTTATTGCTTGTGGTTTGAATTGAGCACATGTGTCATGTTCTTCACCAGGAGCTTGTTTCAGACACAAACCAACATGTGAAATCTGCCCTGGCCTCGGTCATCATGGGCCTGTCCACCATCCTGGGCAAAGACAACACAATAGAGCACTTACTGCCACTGTTTCTGGCCCAGCTCAAGGACGAGGTACGTCTGCTTTATTGGTCCCTACTCTCTTGAAAGTCGTGTTACAAACAATAAAGTTTTAGGATTCACTGTTTAAAGGCGCTTGGCCACGTGACCTGTGCTTATGCAACACTTTATGTGCCCCAGTTTAAGTCTGTGTTTTGATGCTTGTCACCATCGTGTAAGTAATGTCAAACTATAATATGAAGTTGGTGTTAACATTTTTGAATGTTTCGTAGTGCCCAGAGGTGCGTTTGAACATCATTTCTAACCTGGACTGTGTGAATGAGGTGATCGGCATCCGCCAGCTCTCTCAGTCTCTGTTGCCTGCGATCGTGGAGCTGGCAGAGGACGCCAAGTGGAGAGTCCGCCTGGCCATCATCGAGTACATGCCCTTGTTGGCGGGTCAACTGGTGAGTGACCGGGCCTCACATCAATTCTCTTTTTAATAATTGTCCTGAGTAAAAAAAATTTATTCTACATAGTGATGAGAGGTAATAATTCATCTTTTATTTTAGGGAGTGGAGTTCTTTGATGAAAAACTAAACACACTCTGTATGGCTTGGCTGATTGACCACGGTAAGTCTGTTATATCTGCAGTGCTGAAGGTTTGTAATAAAACCCAGTCACTTACTCCCAAGACCACCTAATACTCGTACAATCAGCCCATGTGCTTCCCTTAAGCTACAACACGTGCGCTGCTCCTGACAAACGCCAGCACTGTCTTATAACGCGCATGTATCGGTGTCCATCACAATGAGTTTTCCAATTAGACCTAGACCTTCTGTTGTGAGAATGAAGGCCCAGGTTACGTCATAGGAATGCTGCCGGTGTGGATCCGAGTGTCGGTGTTTACTGGGGTGAGGCCTGTGCCGCTCTTATGCAAGTCTAGTCTGTGCCACAATACCCTGATACTAGCAGCCTTTATCTTCTCATATGACTTTTTCCACTAAGCTCAAGTTGTCTTTGCAGAGTCCTCACTTGTCCTCTTCTAAACTGTTGCAACTTTTGGATTATAAGGCCGGTGATAATTCAATTTCAGCCTCAGGATAAACTAAAGCGCAGATGATTAATTAATTTTCATAATGAACTTTATTGAGTTGCTGAATAAATGTGATTTGAGATGATTCCGAGCAGTAGAGGCAGCGGTTTGTTTCCTTACTATTTGATTAAGCGGAAGAAGACAACTTGGATGAAGTTTTAAATGGCAGCCCTAATGTAGTGAAGTCAGTAATGAGCTAATAACCATTTCTTTTTCACATTTTGAACCTTAGTACAGCAATGAAGTGAAGAGGAAAAGGATCTAATGGTTCATTTAGTGGGGAAGAGTGGCAGTCCATTTTGGCTCCAGCTTAGTTTATAATCTTGGCTTTAGAAATGTATAGTTTTTCTCCTCCCCTCCCAGTGTATGCCATCCGTGAGGCAGCCACCTGTAACCTCATGAAGCTGGTGGAGAAGTTCGGTGCAGAGTGGGCTCAGAACACCATCGTCCCCAAAGTCCTGGGCATGGCCAACGACCCCAACTACCTGCACAGAATGACCACGCTGTTCTGCATCAACGTGAGTCTCGCCTCTGCCTCTGCCCCTTCTCCTGAACCCCACCCCCCTTCCCCTTCTGAATCTCTTCCCCTTAACTCCTTCGTCCGTGTTGCAGGCCCTGTCGGAGGTGTGCGGCCAGGACATCACCACCAAACACATGCTCCCCGTGGTGATGAAGATGTCCGACGACCAGGTGGCCAACGTGCGCTTCAACGTGGCCAAGTCTCTGCAGAAGATCGGCCCGGTTCTCGACAGCCAGTGCGTCTCCTCCTTAACCCTTTTTCCCCCTTTTTCTTCCAGTTGTGTTTATTTGTTTTAATCTAAACACAACAAAACAGACAGACAGATCAACATTCAACATGAACAGCAGACAAACAAAAAAATGTATATGAATAATAATAATAACAGACAAACGTACACTATGAACAAAGTGAGATTATTAAATTAAGTTGAGACTCCAAGGGTGCTGTGGGGTGTGGCGTAGGCAGCATGTTTGTTTCATGATCATGACCCAATCCTCTAGTCTGAGCTACACTTAAGTGAGAGCTGCCCGCCACCACTGCATATTGTTAGTGTGTTTATTCAGTCGTGGGCTTTGAACAAGGCGCACTAATGTTTTGCTCTGGCCATCAGCACGCTGCAGACCCAAGTGAAGCCAGTGCTCGATAAGCTCTCCACAGACAAAGACATGGACGTCAAGTACTTTGCCCAAGAGGCCCTCAGTGGTGAGTGATGAGAAAGTTGCTAACCGTTCAATTTCTATGATCAAAACTCGTACGTAACATGCTCATTCCTCTGCCTGCAGTTCTTGCCCTAACCTATCCAGCTCACCACGAATAAACCAGAAAACTCCCATCAAGAAACACGTAAAAACACTTTTACAAGATATTTATTGATGTTCAGGAACAACTGGTAAATGTATAGACGGCTGTTAACAATTGTTTTTTCTTTTCTTGCTTGTTATTTTTTTTTTCTAACTGTCCATGCGAGTCCATGTTCAGGCCACTTAGTAGATCTTCCGTTTTCTGCTGTAAATTGGTGCTTTTTTTCTCAACGGGCAAAGTGTGACGAAAGCGCGTGTAGGTGGCGCCAGACCCCTCTCACATTCCTCCCTTCGACGTCCCTTTTGCCGCCGTTGTACTTAAAGTTCCGGTCTTTTGCAGCATGTGTCCTCTCGCTCCTCCCGGCGCTAGACACCTGCTCCCAGCAGCAGACGGGGCTACAAGCTGCTTCTTGTCGAATCACTACGCTCACTACAGCCAGAAAACAATGGCGCTGATGAAGCCTTGTCGAGTTTCGCACATCACTCCCGAAAAAATCCAATGTCAAGTTTTCTGTTCGATCAGTGCATGCAATCCGATAAGTCTTTAGTATTGCATGTGCCAAATTTGGTAGAAAAAGGAGTGGGAAAAGTTGGAACAAACCCCATGGACAATTGCTAAAAGGTGCAGGATCGGTCAAACAAAAAAGTATCTTAAAGAGTCTACATGAAATTGCTGTGGGTTTTTCACATAGATTCGAACTCTTGTGCCACTGGCTTCAAGGACCTCACCTTTTCTGATTATAAAACTATCCATTTCCAGTCCGATTCAGTAAATGATCGGGCGCAAACAAGCCACACATGGCCCTCTGGTAGGCTATAGTAAACACCGGCTTATGTCACCGTGTCCCCCCTCTCTGTGCTGGTCCTTTCTTCACTTTGGAGAACGCGAGGTCAGAATAAGGATGCGTACAACTTCATCGTGTAGGAGGTGGGAGTTTTGGCGGTTTCTGGAGTGGGCTTGAACGAACGCATTGATCTGTTGTAAAATGGACCGTGATCAGACTTTTGTCCTCAACATTCATTTATTCTCTTGCGTAAACCTTGATCGTTGATTGTCCTCTTGTATCGCAAACTGTGCTTTTGTTTTTATTTTGAATCCTCGACACAGTTGGGATGCTGTACTATTGTATCTTGATCTGAATAAAGTAACATAATGGATATCAATGAGCCTTTTTTGCTTTTTAAAGGAAATGTTTCACGCTTTCAAAGAACTTTTTATTTATTAGAAAACATGTTATATTTTGCATGTAAGAGCCCTGTGAGTCACAATTTGAAAGATGGTCGTCCTCGTTTTCACTTTCACCAAGACAAGTTTATTTGCACTAGCACTGTTCAGACACAAGGCAACTCCAAAGCGCACAAGAAAACTAGCCCAGAAATGTCTGATCTCAAGACATGTGATGGAGCCAACCTAGTAACAGATTTAATCCTGTGTGTGTGTGTGTGTGTCTCCTGCCTGACCTACTCATACAGTGCACAATATTGTTTCTGCCGTGTTATATGAGGCCAACCTAAGCAGACGAGCGCTGGGGTCTTAAGGTCTGTTGTGGCCGAAGGGGATGGGTCCTCCTCGCCCTGACCGCTGCAGAGAGGAGTCTTCCAGATCAGGGTTGGGCCTCTGGGCTTGGTTTCTGTCCAGTGTGATCTGCACAGCTATTTTCATTTGATTACTGCTTTGATGTTCGCTTTTATCACGTAATGACCCATATAAGGGATTGGATGATTGTGCAACTGTCCTCGTGAGCTATCTTTATAAAACACTGGTATCAAATGCTGTAAAATGAACTGATTACAAATTAGGAACGTTTTGAGGACTGCAGGTGAGGTACAATACACTGTCCCTATAACAAATACAAATCATGAAATAACATTGAGTTGCACAGACACACTTTTTAATTGTGCGTATAATAGTTTTTTACTCAATATATATAATTACCTGCATTGCCCTGGCATGAAGTTCTAATAACAGGGAGCAAGTATACTTTCGGGAGATATATCTGAATAATACTATGATAATTTAAAACTCATTACAAGATTTTTTTCTCCTAACTCTTCTCAGAATTTATTAGAGTATTTTTTGCCGTAGTGTTTCCTGCCACTCTCAAAATGGTGCACTTATTCCTGCACTATTAGTTTGTTTTGATGCGATGTCTATTTTCTTTCCAAATCCAGCTACCAAATTGTCATTAAACATCGCTGACTTACTAAGGAGGGTTTATTCTGGCCTTAATCCAACATTTTAAGCCCTTGCTCCTGCTGTGGATGTTGCAGTGAGCCTGTGTGTGTGGCATCAGTGGAAGCAGGGGTGTGAGTGCAGTCCTTGACAGCTTTGAGAAGTGTGACGTCAATGCTGCTGCCTCCCAGGACTGTGTCATCTATAATGAAAGGTCCCCACTTCGCACACACACACACACACGCCCTCTTTCACTCAGACACAGTGGTGAGGTCATTGCAGTGACAAATGACAAGTATCACTCTACCAATTCTCACTATGTCTGCTCTCGTTTGTCTTGTCGTTGTTCTGCCCGGTTTTTTATTGACAAGGAAAAATCACTCAACAACCAACGTGACAATGACATTAAGCCCGGTCCTTCAGCTTAAAGACTTTGGACTTGTTCTGGACTGGAACTGCTGCGTGTGTTTGAATCAAAATGAACAATAGACTTCCAAGTGCAATGTGACCTTCACGTCACAAAATTTTCCATTGTTTTAGAGGCCGTATCTCCACAAACAACTTCTGCTTGTACGTCACCGCTCACGGACACGTCCCTGGCTCCTGCAGCAGAGAATATATATTGTAGAAGATTATTTTGGCACATTTATCCCAACCCCGATTCTAGTTTCATCCTGATCCTTTTTCTCCTGTATGATTTTTTTTTTTTTACCATGTCCTCCTCTCTCCTCCCGTTACCATAGCGACCATTGATGTCATTACAGTATTCTTTGCCCCCCTATCACTTGAATAGGCTGCAATATCGTAACACAGTTTTTATCTTTGTAGCTCCTTTTCTAGTCTGTAGAAACTGTGATTGCCGCTGTCTGTCCTTGTATCAGCGCTTTGATCCCCCAGGGCGTCTGTGACAAGGAGGCCTTCAGGAGGTTTTAAAGCCAGCACTATAAATAACTGCTCTAAAAAGACATCATAGCACCTTCTGTGGAAAACGGTTTGCAATATTTTGTAATTGCCTGATGTGAGCAGAGTATTCAAATCCTTATTAAAACTAGTGCACCACAATTACACGTTTTAGTCCTTTGCTGAAATGACCTCAAGCTGATATCAGGTTTGTGCACATATACACTTTCAGTTATGGATCAGGATTACCACGCTTAAGGACTACAGATAAGTTTGTCTGCAATGAACGGAAAAAAAACCCGACAATCTTGTTGATGAGAAGACTATACTCTGAGACTTTTTTCTAGTTCAAAACCAGTTTTTCCCCATTTTGTGAAATAGTACTCTCTCCATGACAAGTTTAAGAAGGACCACTCAAAGCCAATTTTACACTTAGTCACAGTGATGTGCGCTTGTGTGTGATGTGACAGGCCCCAGCAGCAGCAGCAGCCCCCTCCATCCTCCTTCACCTCTGCGCCGTAAGAGCAGCATTAGCTGTTCTCAGTCTGAGTGGGCTGATTGGATTGACGTCTTGTCTTGATATGATCCTCTTCCCACCACTGGGACTAACGTCATCCACAAGACACACCTTCTTCAGTGCGTCGACCAAAATGTAGTTTTGACCTTCAGGTGTCCTTCCCTATCACTTTGGCTTTGTCATGTATCATAAATAACAGCACCTTTTCCCCACATTCCCGTCTGCCAATCTATTGTTGGTTTATCTTCTGTGGCTGGAGGCGTGAGAAGTGACTGTAGTCTGTCATTAAAGGGCTATAAATATATGAGTGTAAGGTCTAATCTGAAGTCTTTGAAACAATCCAGGAACCAGAGCAAAACAATTAGATTAACCAACTGCTTCTTACCTCCAGAGACCCCACCTTCACTTTTCTAACAGCTTCAACTGAGTCTGGCTTTGTGTCTGGTCTTTTGGATAATGACGTTTCGGAACCTTTGATGCAGATGCGGCTTGGGAGGGCGGGAAGAAATGTGTATTATTGCTTCCCAAACAGGGGTACAAGGAGCACAGACCAGGCTGTGCTTGCAATGATTGGTGAACATATGTTAAGTGAATGTACGTTGGAGTAGGGGGTTACTCAAAACAAAAAAGGTTGGTGTTCACTGTTATAATGACAGTTAATAATAGTAAAGGGAAACGAGTTGTGGTCGTTTGTATTGAGACGGTTGTCTTATTTAGATACGATAGATACTTTATTGATCCCCGTAAGAAAAATGTAGGTGTCCATTAGCAGCAGAAACACATCCTTCTACACAAACAAAAACAAATAAATAGATCATTCTAAAATGCAACAGCACCCTAGGGCACAGCAGCAGAGGTGGTGTAGCCTCTGGGTGAAGCAGGACAGGTCACAGCAGCAAGGTGGTGTAGCCTCTGGGTGGAGCAGGAACAGCAGCAAGGTGGTGTAGCCTCTGGGTGAAGCAGGAACAGCAGCAGAGGTGGTGTAGCCTCTGGGTGAAGCAGGAACAGCAGCAGAGGTGGTGTAGCCTCTGGGTGAAGCAGGAACAGCAGCAGAGGTGGTGTAGCCTCTGGGTGAAGCAGGAACAGCAGCAAGGTGGTGTAGCCTCTGGGTGAAGCAGGAACAGCAGCAAGGTCGTGTAGCCTCTGGGTGAAGCAGGAACAGAAGCAGAGGTGGTGTATTCTCTGGGTGAAGCAGGAACAGCAGCAGAGGTGGTGTAGCCTCTGGTGAAGCAGGAACAGAAGCAGAGGTGGTGTAGCCTCTGGGTGGAGCAGGTCACAGCAGCAAGGTGGTGGAGCAGGAACAGAAGCAGAGGTGGTGTAGCCTCTGGGTGAAGCAGGAACAGAAGCAGAGGTGGTGTATTCTCTGGGTGAAGCAGGAACAGCAGCAGAGGTGGTGTAGCCTCTGGGTGAAGCAGGAACAGAAGCAG